ATCTTCGTCATCATTTTTAATCTCTTGCCACAGCTGCTGGTCCTGTCTCAGGTTGACAGAGTGCTTGATGAAGTGGACTGGCTGATTGCCAGAAAGAAAAGCCAGACAGTCGCTGACAAATCGGGCTCCGGTAAGAACCCTTTTCATACCGATGCTCCGTTGGATTAATGGTGACAGTTGAGAGGGGACAAGAGAGGAGATGCATCTCTGTCGGGGGAGGGTACTAAAACTTCTGTGATGTTATGTTCCTGTAAGGTGAGGCCACCCAGACCGCAGGGCAGCAGGATCCAATAGAGAAAGCTGTGACACTGCAGCTTGGGACCCTTTTGACGGCATTAAACGAGCTGGTCCAGACAGCCCTGCTGCCTGGCACTTGTACCATTACACTGCTCAGAGAGCTGACTCGCACATACAGCATCCTCACTACTCTGGTCAAATATGTGCGTATATGTCCACTCTATGATCGCAGTATAAAGGCAGAGTTTGTGAAGTTTGTCTCGTGTGACGATTTCCTTTCAATGTGTCATTTTTAGTACATCCAGGTGTGTTCCAGCCAGCACGGAGCACTGCCAGCACGCTTTGAGAAGCTGGTGAGCCCAGTGTATTGTTTCTCTGTTTCTATCTTCCAGTACTTATGATGTCAATGCTAATCTAGTGTTTTCTGTGTAGGTTAAACTGTCCGGCTCCCACCTAACACCACAGTGCTACTCTTTCATCACATACGCACAGGTACAGCCCACTCCAATTACGACTGTGCTGTTTGAGCTTTTCTGCTTCAGGAAGGGAGTGTTTTGAAAATGTTTGTGTTTTCTCTATTAGAGTGGAGAATTCAGCGTTGGAGGTGCAGATGACAAGAAGAAAAAGAAAAGGAATGAAGTGAACACTGCTGCCTCTGTAAGGACATTTGTCTCCTAATTATGTAATTGATTTGTAACAAGAAGAATTTACATTTTCTGTTTATCTTTAATAAAAATGTATAGGTACACTGTACAACTAAAAACTTGCTGGAACGGTTTTGAAAGAATCGATCTGTTCATCAAGATTTTTCTTCTTGGTAGACAAAACTTCTGCGTGAAACAAAGGCCATCCCTAACTTAATCTTCAGCATCGAGCAGTATGAGAAATACCTCATCACTCTCTCAAAGAAATCAAAGGTATGTGTGCACTGGATTGCTTGAGTTAGTGGACAAAATGTGATTTTCTAAATACAAGAGCAGAACTCTGTCAGTGCTGTCGGGCCGGTCATATACAGTGCTCCACCAACATCTGTGTTTGTCCAGGTAAATCTGATGCAGTACATGAAGTTGAGCACCTCAAGAGATTTCCGCATCAACGCTGCTACTCTGGACGCAGCCCTGCAGGAGCACGATGAAAGTCAGGAGGTAAGTGCAATCTCATACTGTAAATGGCAGCTCCAAAAGTCCTCTTTTCTTTCTCTCCCTCTTTACTCGATTACGTGAGTCAAAGCTGTTTTTGTTTTTTACTGTGCAGATTGAGCTAACTGCTGAAAGGTTTTCCCATGGGTGATGTTTTGGATGTTCTGCATTGAAGTGTTTCCAACATTTAATTCCCTTGAACAGTCTCTGTTTCAGTAGACTTCTGCTGGGTGAGATCTCAGTGTTTGTTTGTTTCTTCTTCCTTTCAGGCCACAGACTCACAGAACGCAGAGGAAACACAAGAACCCAAACAGAAGAAGAGAAAGCAGTGAATGAAGAAGTCTGATCTGAACTTGACCAGCTGCCGAATGGCCTCTTGACAGTTGTGAGTTCTGAATAACAGCATCTTGGCCCACAAAGTGCTATCTTCCTTTGTTCAGAGAGCCTTTAGTGATGTTGAGGATTTGGTAGATGTCCAAGGCCTCACCTGCGGAACATTTGCACACATTGTTTAATAATCTGGTTGTGTTCATATAGTTCACATATTCAAAAGAAATGTTCATCAGGATGACTTTATGATGAATAAGCTGCTCTGTTGTTCAAATTAACACCACTGTTCTTACTTTAAATACGTTTAGTTAAACATATAGTAGTACTTAAGATGAGCCTGCTTTATCAGTCCTTGGCTACACTAAAGAGGTGGATCTATGGTTTCCAGTACACATAAATACATCCTGAAGAGATTTACCTAGAAACCTAGCTTTGTCAAGTGTTGTTTTGTTTTAAAATAAATATTTTTTTCTTACTGCTTATTTACACTAGTTTTTTTAAATTGTATCTTGCATTTAATTTTTATAAAACCTGGCAAATTATCAAGAGTAAAAATGTAAATAGTTTGTGCACACACATTTGTAATTCACTCTCTCAAATGAATAACTTTATTATATAATCTTAGTACACCTTTTTCCTCTTTTCTGGCCAGGCCATACAAGAATGTGTAATGCAGTGTAATGTGCAAATAAACGGAAATATCTTTGTCAATGTAAAATGGCTTCTTGTCATGTATTTTAGATACCCACAAAGTAATAATTTGTCCGCGTGATTTTTTTTTAATTAATTCATGTACTTTGATCTGTAGGGCTTTGAAGATCCTTAATTTCCCTCCTGTTATTTTATGCACTTTATTTACATCACACAACATATGTGCAACGCATATATTGTGCCCTAATGAAAAAAAACTGGTGATGGCGTGCAGAGCTTACCAGGTGGTAGGCCGTATCTTCGTTCCAGACCTGTGGGGTTGGAGGGGGTCACGCAGTCCATGTTGACCTCCTTCCGCAGACACTGGTCAATGTCAACTGAACTGAAGAAAGCTACTGACTGGGGAAGGTCCTGCATGCCCAACGCATAAGAGAACACACTCCTGCAGGAGACAGAAGCCCGCAATCAGAAAAGCTCTCAGGTTTATTGCCTGTTGTATTGTGGGTATTTTGACGGGGGAAGAATAAATACTGAGCTGTGAGCACACCTCGTGAGCAGGTTTGTGATCTGAAGTGCCAGCGATGCTCGGTAACGGTCTTCGCTGCAGACGAGGTACCGCACCTCGTCGTGGATGCTGATGCAGAAACGGCCATCGATGTCATGCTCCTCACAGAGCCACTTCATGGCAACCAAAATCAGATGTAGGTAGTCCACTGCAGAGCTCTGGACCACCCAGTTCACTCTGCTCGTGATAAACTAACAAAAGAAAAGATGGCAGCATTTTGTGGTTGAGAGCCTTCATTACCAGGTAAAAACAGCCATTTCTTCATCAGATTTCAGGACTACCCTACACTAATGAAACCTTACCTCATCCTTGACTGCCTTGGGCTCCAGTGCTCTGCTAATCCTGCAGCCTAGAACAGGAGTAGCTGTCTCGGCTGAATGGGCAATGCTCTCCAGCTTGTTGAACATGTCCGACTCTGTACCTCCAGCCCACTGACGTTTGTCGACTATGCTCCACCTCTTCCGCTTAGTGCTGAGGGGTATAAGGAGAGACGGAAAGGAAGGAACAGTGCAACTCAGAGGATGTAGGAGAATATCTTGTTTTACTAAAAAGCTCGTGATAAGTGGTTGTGGATGTTTGTGTGATGTTGCCCCCTCACCACTGTGAAACCAGTTTAGAGATCCTCCGCAGCTCCTGCAGGGTGACACTTCCATCCTCCGCCGTCTCCACCTCTACATTCAGTTCACTGAGCAGCCACTTGCCCTCCTCTGTCAGATGGTATCTGACAAAACATAAACGCAAACATGAAGCACAGTAGCTCTCAGCTTTGTAAACTTTGCACAAACAACTCAAATCTTGACTTTAAACAATTATTGTTGAGTGTACCTGCGTATGCCCTTTGTTAAGGCGTACATCTGCTTGGCCTTTTTAGAAGCTTCAGTCTGACTGAGGCGGTGGTTGAACTGCATTAGCAGTCTCTCAGCAAAGGGTTGTCCAGCACCATAAATGCGTCCATAGTTGAACACCTTGGCATGCTCTCGGCTGATGCCCACAGTGTCAGCAGTGCGGCTGTGCAGGTCAGTGCCCTGACTCTTCTTTCCCTGAAGAGTCATCCAGCCAAACGCTGTACAACCTAACCCCAGCAGAGACACGAGATGAACACAGTTACCATCAGATGCTGTTTGTTCATGACCGATAAAGTATTGCCTTCTACAACTTTATTAGTGTTACTAATACCAAACACAGGACTGTACAAGATTTCAAAAAGGACAAATCTCACCGTGCATGCCAGCGAAGTGAGCATCTCCGAGTACAGCAGCGATCCACAACTCTTGAGAGTCTACGTCTGCTCCCACAAGGTGATATCCAGGTGGTACCTGCACCATTGCCTTCAGCTCACTGCCTACCCGGTCCCGCTGTGCATACCAAAAAAACAGTCCATACGAATAAGATTTCTTTACAGGCAAATGCAATTGAGTCCAAACTGGCAGCTGAGTCAGTACTCTCAGACTTGCTATGTGCAGTTTGTCAGCTCAGACTCTTACCCGTGCATTACTGGCAGTCAGCCACGTTGGCTCCACAGCCCTACGTGTAACTGTTCCAGCTGTGACGACCTGAGGTATTATGGCCCCATACTGACCCTCTTCATCAAACTCTTTGTGTCTTTGGGAGACAGAAAGGTTGTTATATACAATAATGACGTTTGTCCGTTCCATGTTTGATCAATAAATACAGAATAGTTATTGATATAGCAGACCAACCTGCTGACAATACAAGGAAGTTCTCCCTTTCGCAGCCACAGCACCATCTGAGAGCTATGAGGAGACATAGTAACAATCACATATTCATTATCTTTATGACTGATGAGCTCATCCAAAAAGATAACTTTATGGTGGAAACTGACGGGTACCTTATACGCTTATGGGCATTCCTCCAGAAGGACATCATTTTGTTGATCTCCAGCGCTCTTGTAGCGTTGGTTCCACCCCGTCCTGCCCTGAGAGTACCATCCTCCATCTTAGCCAGGAAGTCTTTTGAAAAGGGACTGCCAACATTGTTGTGATTACCATCCTGAAACAAACGCATTCAGTGAGACGATGAAAGTAACTCACTGTAGTGGCAATGTGCCAATGCTCGTTATTCAGGACACTGCAGTTAAACAGGGAAACTTCACCTTATGGGGCAATTTGAAAAACCAGCATCCTGGGATATCTACATCATTGTAGGGGCCGTTTCCATGGTGATAATGGCACTGCGCCTCCTCTGGGATGTAATGTGGATCGTTGGACTGTTGTTGATACACAGTGCAAGTTATGTCATACAGCAAATCACAATAACAAATGTTCAGGTTCAGCACAGTGAAAGAAGAACCACAACACACAGCACGTTAGACCTAATAGTGCCATCCATATTAACGTAGAATAAATACAAAAGGAAAGGAAGAAATGTATGATACAGATATGAAATTCAGAAGACAACCTTTTCACTCACCACTTTTTTCTTCCCGCCATTTTTTGTCACTCTGACTCCATTTTCCTCTCTCAGACTTTCAACGGAACCAAACTCTTCCACCTTGAAATGAGGTTGAGAAACACACCTCTGTCATAATACATATTCTATTTCTATACACATGTGCGGACATCACTACATTACTACCTACATTAGCTACATTAATTCACTGTGGCCCAATCTAGTTAGTTTTAAGACACGTCTCTTGTATATGATTCTAAACAACAAATGTATGGTGTAAATTACATTATGAGTGGATGCACCTTTGTCCACACTGTGCTGTCTGTCCACAAGAGGTCATCTGAAAGGTCGCTGTCCAGATATTCAGGCTTTTCTTTGCTGTTCTGCTCACAATACTCTCTGTAAACTCTCTCAATAGCTCTGTGGGACAAAACAATGTCTTAGTCAATGCACACACATCCTATGCTGTAAAACTCTAAGCACAGTGTATTAAATACCTGTGTGGGCACACAGGCCCTGTGTTTTCCTCCTGAGATACCAGGTTATCCCTACGTCCAGGTACCAAGTAGCCCCACCCGTGTTTCTCTGTATAATGCAGGGGGAAACCATCCCATGTCAGACCCATCAGCTTAGGAGTCACTCTCATCTGTAGACTGATGAGGCTGGCTCCAGGTGACCAGCTGTCCTCCGCAGCCATCTTCTCACAGAGCTTACGATACCACCTGAAAGAAACAGTAAGGAGGGAGAAGGACTTACCCACGCTGTCAGTGGCAAATGGAAGTGGAAACTGAAAGATACTAAATGTTGGATGACTCTGTGGATCTTAGGAGTGGTCTTACCCTGGATGTCCAGGAAGATGTTGCCTTCTCTTAGGAAGCCGATCCACTGTTTCTTTCAGCTTTTCCACAGCCAGCCTGCTGGGACAAGGGCTTTCCATCTCCTCCTCAGAGGGTGGACCTGGGTCTAACATCACAACAACTCAACTGAATCATCTCTTCTGGTACTTTTAACACCATTTTGCATTGTTCTAATAGTTGAACTAAAAACAGCTGAGCTTATACCTTGCTCCCAGTCTGGAAGAGGAGTAGCAGCTTGTGTTTCAGCTGCTTTTTTGGAATTCTTCCTTTTGCTGGTTGGTACTTTCTTCAGCTTGAACTCCTGCACATCCCACTCAAAATCCCAAAGCCAGGGGTCTTCTTTGTATCTTAAGTCAAAAAAACAAAACATAAAACCTATAAAATGTGGATGTTTTTATACAAAACAAGTAACTATCCCTTGGAGTTAAGGAACTTTAGATTATGCAAAAATCTATATTTCTTTTCATCTTACTACACACTTTAAATTTTAATAATGTTCCACAGCCAGAAACATGGTGATGAACAGGGGCTCTTCTCACCTGTCGTCCTGCAGCAGCTGGCAGACATCGTCCGCAAGAGTCATCAGAGACTTCTTCATCTCTCTCTGGAGCTCTTCGTAAATGTCCTGAGAATCTTCCAGGTAACGCCCCCAGTTTTTATTGACAGGAAGGTAGCTCACGCCCATCTCCAGCATGCCAGCAAACGTCACTGGATGAGGACACCTTGTGAAAGATAAAACAGACGGTGCGATTTCTGCAGAATGGTGAACAAAGCAACAAATCAATACTTAGAAAAAAAAATGTGGGTTTGGGAATTACTGACCTCTCCAAGAAAAGGGGTAGCTGTTCTGTGAAGACTTGATGTGTGGCCTGAACATCCATAGCGCAATACTGCATTAATTCCTGTAGAGGTCAGCAAAGCACAAATTATTTGTCTGTACTTCATGATGAATGAAAGTCATTTGGCCTATCATTACTGACAATCTGAGTGAGGATTTATCGTGAATCTCTGACCTGGAAGTTGTTCCTGACGTCCATCATACTGCCCTTCACAAAGATATCTCTAGATTCTTTCTTCAGTGGTGGGCCTCCCACATACAGAGCATGGACATCAGCCAGGTTATTAATGCTGCTAATATTCACCCAGTCCCAGGAGCCAATCTGTGCACAAAAGATCATTCTGTTCGACAAAAGCAAAGCAACTACCCTAACCGAAAGAACCTGACACTTTCAACATAAGAAAAGATGCAACATCACCAGTAAAACTGCATGCTGTAGCTGAAATACGTATGGTGAATAAAATACACAAACCATGTGGCCCTCCTTTTTCTGTCCAGTTTTCTTCATGTGTTCTTTGACCTCCTGAAGACCCCTCCTTTTCCCCATCTTATTGGCCATCCACAGTGTCCGCTGGAACCCAGTCAACCCAGAGATGGCCATGTGAAGGCTCATAGTGTCCATGAAGCGGACCTTAGGACCCTTTAGATAGATAGATGGATATTTTATTTATCCTGAGGGAAATTCAAGTATCCAGTAGTATACAAAATACAAAACATACATTATATACATTAAACATACATTAAACTAAAATTAAACTAAAATTAAAAACCCTAACCCTAAGAATAAAATATAAAATAAAATAAAAGATAAAATATAAAATAAAAATAAAATGAACTTATAACATATATAATATAAAATTAACAGTAGCTACAGTAAACAGTGCAAATGGAAGTAAAACAGTGCAAGTGGAGGTAGAAATTGTCTATTGTCCTCCCTGCCTTGACTTTAGGAAAGAAAACATACGTTTTTGTACTTTGCTGTACATAATCTTGTTTGTCATACAGAGGCAGTAACAGGCTACTGAACACATACAACAAGGATCATAAAATCATAAATTAAAGATACAAAAAAAAGTGTGTGTGTATAAAGAGTTGAATACTGACCTTCAGTAAGTATTGCTCCTTAATGTAAGAGCGATCAAAACTGACATTATGGCCCACGATGAGCCTCTCCTTCCACTGGTTGCCTGGCGGGCGGGTAGAGTTGATACTGGTCTCCAGTGGGATGAGGTCAGCTAGGGTCAGCTGGTTTGACCAGGTGTAGCGCTCTTCAATCAGACGCTTACTGCACCAGGAATACCTATCAGAAATATTGCCCATTTTACATCCACATCCCAAAATCATCACCTTCAATCATTCCAATAAACCATTTAAAGACAGTCTGTGCATTTCTCCCCTTTACACAAACATTACAATTATTGCTTGTTTCTCACCAGTTAGTGGGAGACACAGCAACAGCCAGTGTGGGACACTGTCCCTCCGTCATGCACACCTCCACATCAAACACCAGCACAGACTCATCCGGGAAATCAACCTTCTGACTGTCCCCATCGGGGCCATAGCGTGTCCAGCCAATACTCCAGCTCCATTCCTGTGGCATGGGAGGGAGCTCAGCCAGATGCAGCTTGGAAGCAGCCTCAAGGTAAGGTAGACTCTGCTTCTGGGCCAAGATACGAAAGTGCTCATCAATATTTTCGCCATACATCTGGGGAAGCTTCAGCTCCACATCGGGCAACAGTGAAGTTTCTTTCCCCCACAGCTGGTGTTGCTGCAGGTGCTTAATGCTGCGCTTCACGTCGTCCTCTCTGTACTCTGGTTCCACCCCTCGAAAGATCTGCTTGTGGAGATTCCTTGACAGCATCTGAATGTTAAGGGGGTTCAGGCGGGTGTCTGTGGGGTCCTCGCCCTGAAGGGACTGAGGCTTGGTGGAGTACAGGGAGCGCAGACACGTCCATTGCAGAGAGATGAGACTCCTCTGCAGAGGATATCGCAACACATGCAGCATCACCTCATGAGGACTTCACACTAGAGCTGGAAGACATTGACACAACATCACCCATATGAAATAAGATAGACAGATCATTATCCAGTAGCATACAAAATACAAAACATACATTAAACATACATTAAACTAAAATAAAAACCCTAACCTTAAGAATAGAATTAAAAATAAAATATAAAATATTATATATAATATATAAAATTAACAGTAGCTACAGTAAACAGTGCAAACAGTAACAGTAAAGTAAGTGGCACAAACTGGAGCTAGATACAGTTATATATATATATATATATGAAAGTTGCTGAAATCAGGAATGTTTCATTTCATGATATCATGTGTGATTTTGCTAGTGTGAATCTTTTTTACACTTTAGAGTTAATTAAATGATTTCCTCATGATTTTCTGAGGGTATTTCTTGGCGAGTAAAAGGAAAGACTGGTCTTTTTCTTTCACTCATCCCTAACTTTACCTAATTACATTAACTTAAGTCCTGACACACATTATTGAGGGCGAGGAACTGAGTCAAAACACTTTGATATGTCACTCAAATAAGGTTTAAAGACACACACGGTGACTGAAACTAGTCAGCTAGTCAGCTTATCCCACTGAAGCATAGCTGTTAGTATAGCTAACGTTAGAAATGTTACACTCACATACAAATAGTCAACGTGTTTAATTAAATTAATAGACCACCAACCTAACATCTGACCCGTGCTCAGCCTTAAAGGAAACCTTGCTAATTTGTGAGCAACCAAACTAACTAGCAGTTCGCTGTCGTTGAATTTTAACAGTTAACTCTGGAAAGTAAAAAAGAAAAGCACCTCACCGGATCTGTATTATAACGTTACAGCAGTCAACAAAGCTAAAACATGTTATGGTTTCACATGTGGTTCTTACTCAAGCACGCCGACGTTGTTGTACGACCAAAGCAGCAAGACGAAGCATCAGCGACCCCAAGCGGCCCGGATGACTGAGCTGTTTTTAGCACTACAGACAAACAAAATGGGTTGGATGGACAACACGATGCAGACGCTGCAGTTTTGTACAACGTGGATTATCCACGATTTAACTGGCATAAAAATAACCCATATATTCGGCTAAATCATCGTAATATAGATTATTTTAATAGCACTGGGCCCATGAGTGCTGACGGACGGCCGCGTGGCCTAATGGATAAGGCG